CCTAAGCTTCCCTAGACTAATGCTGAGTTTCTTACATATATATATATATTTTAAAAAGGCTTCTTTTATCTCTGCTCCTTTGCCCTGACTCCCTAAAGTTCAAGGTTGCCAATTAGACAAACAAAAGTATCATTTTAATTACAGTCCAGGTTCAGAAATAACTGAATACCTACCAGTAACTAAAATTAACAGGTCAAGCCAGTGTTGGTGCTAGGAGTACAGCTGAGTTTGAGGTATCTCAAAAAGCTTCATAGAAAGAACTGAACATAGAAAGTACTCAAGCCAGTAAAACATGGCTCAAACTGTGCAAAGTTGAGCTATCATAGAGAGTTGTTCTAGCACTTAGGTGGCACCTTAAACACCGGAAACCCCTTCACATGAGCACAAGTAGCACTAGTAAATCCTGAGGTCTAGTGCCAGGCTATTCCTGAGTAAACCTGCATATACTCAGGATTCCTCTCTATAGCTGAACACTCCTTCATCTCCTTGCTTGACTCTTCACCAGAGTTAAAAGGGTTTCTCTGGGCTGAATGGACAAGACTGCAGTTCAAAATACAAGGGACAGGATCAGGAATGTTAGGGCTTGAAGCTATTTCTCTACTGTTGTTAGGGCCAGGATAGTGTACATGATTCCCTGAGCTTTCATGGTTGATCTCCTTGCTCAGCCAAGACCATAAAGTAATTTTTCTACTCTCTCTCAAATATGGAAAAGGATCTTTTCTAAGGTGATATTCAAAACTTCAGTGTAGTTGTGATTGGGTGCAAATATATATCCATTCATATCAGCTGGTAGCACTTTTGGGTGGAGGGGGGCATGAAGAGTATAAACCAAACATAGACATGTAGAAAATTACATTAAATCTTTGTTTCATGACTATTTACATCACATTAATGAAAGAGAATTCTGGAATGGTGTTAGAGGGGATCAGAACACAAATGTGTAATGGGACCAAAACATGATGCTCTAACCTATAGATCCATATTAAGAAAAGGAGTAAAATCTGAACAACCAGCATAATAGAATATATGGTGCAATTTATACTGAATAACATAAAAAAATGAATTATGTATTGGATCATTTATATAGTCAAAGTCTTATCAGCCTGCAAGAAAAATTGTTGCATTTTGTATGCATCCTATATGCAACTTTCCTAAATACCTGCATTTTTGCTATATAGCTTTCCCCAAAATGTAAAAAAGTTCCTAATTTTTTTTAGTATTTTGTGGTGATATTTTTCTTTGATTATCACAATCTTTTATTAATAGTGATTATTGCATTTTTTTTTATTGTAAGCTATCTTGGAAAGATTTATACCCACCCCAAAATCTGAAAACATTTCATATAAGCAAACAAACAACATTTGTATACAGCTTCCAAGATATGTACAGTGGTACCTCGGGTTACGAACGCCTCTACTAGCGAACATTTCGGGTTACGACCAGCTTCGGCAGGAAAAAT